AAAACAGTATTTCAATAATGGCCTCATCTCTGTGAATTATTTACTTCTTCACTAAAAAGTTTCAGTCTAAACCATTCCTGTAAGTTATATTGTAAATGATGATCTTCTTTTGGAAAGGAAGATGACTCATAGCTGTATACCTAGTTATTATGTGAAAGGGTATCAGGGACAAATCATGAAAAGATTTACAAAACAGTCTGAGAATATTGGATTTGATTAGACCATAAATAATCATCATACGTGCTAGAGCAGACACCTGATATGATGAGTAAAATGCTTATTTTAACAGCCTTACATAGGCAGAAAGGAATAGAGGAAGTACTGGGAAATGGGAAAAATAAAGAATTTTAAGTATGTCTAGGCATCACTGCACATTGCCCTAGAGATTTGGGAAGTGCATTTCCAAACTAGTGTGGATTAAAAAAAGGGACTACCTCTGACTTCTGGGTGATCAGGAAAATGATTTAGAGATCACAAAATTTTAAGAGTAGTTTGCTCATTCTTTCAATAAAGTGGGACCCCAATTATGAAATTATGAAAACACATTTTTCCCTTTCAAGAATTTACTGAGAGTAATGTGATGAATGTTATGATTGATGAATGGGTGGTGAACTATAAGAATAAAGTAATATTTAAATCAATGTTTAGAATAATTTGCCTTCCTCCTCAAAATGTTTGTAGAAAATATACATTCCGTCATTAATAATGACCTCAATGTCAATGATTCTCAAAGGGGGCCAGTGTCTGGGGGAGGAAAAGTGGAGGGAGAAAGAGAGAACAGCTGGGAAATAGCCCAAGAAATTCTGATAGAAACTGCTGGGGAGGGTGGTCTGACCCTCGGAGTCTCTTAAGCAGAGCCGTGCAGGACCTACGGAAGGATGGCTGATCAAGCCCATTAGAATTTCTCATCAAAAGAACCTTCTGGGCTTTTCATTGGTTCGTTGTTTTGTTTCCATTTACTTGTTTGTATCTAGCATATTTGCTCTGAAAATTCAGTCTCCTCCTTCTCCTTCCCATTTTATTTATTTATTTTTGTTTGATTTTTGGCTAGAGACAGAAGCAAATTCATTTGAAGAGACAATTGCTAGAGTATGTGTACCTGAAAATAGGTTCTTTGCCAACCTCCTGGGGCCAGGAATGTTTTGCTTCCTTTGTTAGTTACAGTTTCATACTACGCTTACTGGTGGACTGTCTGGGGCATTCTCTCCTATCATGGTTGATTTACTAAGAACATGCCAATGTGCTTTTCTGTGTCTCTTCTCTCTTTCTGTCCAGAGAATTGTCAGTTCTGTGAAGGTCATGAGCTTAATCAGTTAGTCATGGACTCCAGAGGTCAGCTTATTTATAAGTGGTCCTTCTACATTATGAACAAGTATTTGCATTGTTTTGCTGGAGACAAAAATATACTTTTGCTCTATGTAAGGAGGTGCTTCAGTACATTTGATCTTTTATTTAAAGTTGTCTTTACTGAAAATTTAGAAAATAATTTGTGTTTTGTTGTATGAAATCATCCCAGGTGAAAGAAACACAAAACAACTCAGTTTATCAAATATGAGTTACTGTACTAGAAACATATCTCTAGCATATTGGAGACAATCTTTTTCCTCTTTTTTTGTTTCCTGAATATAACTAGAACTGAAATGAAGCCTATAATTATATAATACAACCATATTACATATAAGTGAAAGTAAATAATAAGGGAATGCATTTCATAGTAAAGATAAGGTTGGAAATAATTTTACAAAAATGTTTTGTTCAAAACTTTTTGAAACTATGTACATAGTATCAGGTTTTGCAAAATATATAAAAATTTTATCCTCATTTAGATTATTTCTAAATATATTTTATTTCCTTTATTCTTTCCTAGTGTGCACTGGTATGTGAATGTCCAGCCCCAGAAAGTGTGAACGGAAAAGATAACTTACCTTTTCTGAATGCAGGTATGTAACTCAGTTTTGGGTACTTATATATGAACATACATTTTAATTTCCTATAAACTCAACACTGAATCAGGGAAGCATTCTAACAGACTAATTTGTGAGCACTGACTAAATGAACTGGTAAACCGTGAGCAGCCAACACAATGGGGGTAAATTGTACAATTTCCTTAGGAAGATACATAAATACCCTAGCTACATGGCAAAA